TATAACATCCTCTACAAAAATGACAAGCTAGCCAGGTTTATTTTAGTGAAAATAGTTACCCCTATTGAAAAGTGTCAAGCAACAGATTTAATATTTTTTTTAGCTTTACCATAACACATGAACATTGTACAAAAATTTGCATGATCCCAAGTTATGTATTTTTGCCTTATTTATTTTCACAAGAAACTAGCATTTATTTAGGATTAAATAAGAAGACCATATCCAAAGTATGACCACTGTAAATTCAGTATTTTTACTAACTAGAGCATGTCAACACAAACCCAACAAAATTGGAATCATAATTTTTGCACATATCAAACTCAAGTTATCCATTTTACAAGATTGCAAACAATTTAAAAGCACTTATTTAGCTCCATTTAATTCTCCTAGAAAAATACCAGAAATAGTGTATTTCATATTTTTATCAAATACTACACTTCATGATGAATCCAACAAAATTTGGTTCACCCTATTTAGACACTCCTAGCTCTAAATATGAATTTTTGAAACATGCATTCAAATATGGAAAATAAATCAGAAAATCAAAACCTACATAGGCTGACAGCTAGGGCCCACGGTCAAAGGGACCCGCACGTTAGACACACAGAAGCAGAGCACGGCGGTTGACCGGTGAGAATTCACCATCGGTGAGGCTTCCGACGGTAGCATCTACACCGTTGCACTCTACACGTCGAGCCGCGTCGGTAGGTGTGCTCGGTTTGCCCACAAGCTCACCGGAAGTAGCTCGCCGGTGGTAATGGTGGACGGTGGAGGTCGCGCGGTGGTATGCCGGCGTCCTCCGGCCACCATACGCGGTGGAGTCATCCCTAGATTCGGCCTAAGCTTCTAGACTCTAGCGAGGTGCTAGACCAAAGGAGATGGAGGCCTGCGGGGCAGTGAAATGGCCGGGCCACGGTGAGCCTCGAGCGCGGTGGAGCTTCGGTGACGACGCGGTGCCGGTGAGGCAAAATGGGGCCTGACCTAGGCGTGACGTGAGGTAGTATTGGTTCAGGGAGTTAGAGGTGGAGGTGGCGGAGCTGTTGGCGTGAGGAATCAAGCGGTGGAGTTGCGACAGCAGCAAGCGGGCACGGCGGAGCGACAGCGATGGCGCGGAGGCGCTGTGCTTCGCTTTCCTTTGGCGCGGGCGAGAGAGAGCGAGGTGCGAGAGTGAAATGGAGCGAGCAGCAGAGGTGCGCGCCTTTACTCCTCGCGCTGGCCTGACCGGCTGAGCCGGTGCTAGCATATGGCCACCACGCGGCGTGCCTGGCCTGCCCCCGGTCGGCCACTGCCGCTGCCCTCAGCAGATTCAGTCCAGTGACGAAGCCGACTGACAGAGCAAACTTGATCCCCACTATCTCCCAAACCAATTAGAGTTAGCAAAAATTCCCTGAATAGAAATTGTAGAGCTACATGTAGTCTACAAACTTACTTTAAGAAGCATCCCCAAATTCTCAATGGTTAGCCAGTTACAATGCTCCCAAGTGAGGTACACTAAAACTGTAAACAACATTAAGACAGAAAAAATTTCAAACTAAAAAACAGTAATTCTATTGCTACTTGTGAGCTATTTTTGAGCATGCTATGCATCGAATTAGGTCTTCACCTAAAAATAAAAGTTGTTACTCAAGTCAAGTACTACAACTTTGCTTAAGGGTGCACTGCCATGCAAACACTCTATGCTATAGTTCAATTTAGGTCAAACATACCACTTAAAAATGAAAGCCTACACTATAACCATGCCTTAGAGGCCAAATGGGTCCAAGTCATGAATACCAAAGTTGTTCTATGTGACATTCTAAATATGTTTAAGGTACTCCTAAGGTCCCACAAACATTTTATACATTGGTCACATGCAAATCCTAGCATATGTAAAGCATTTAGTAACAAACACATGCGATATAAGCAATCATAGAGATAAAATTTGAGATGCTCATGCTCATGAATTTTCAATGATGCTTGTGCTCATGCAATGCTAATGCCAAATGCATGCTTAACACCTAGGGAATTACAGCCCTTCCCCCCCATAAAGAAATCTCATCCCGAGATTTGCACGACTAACCATCTCTTGTAGAAAACCGGATAGACCTCACGAAGATAATCCTCTCGCTCCCACGTAGCGTCTTGCTCACTATGGTTATTTCACACCACCTTATAGAATTTAATGACTTTGCTATGGCCTATGGGTCACTCTTTCCATTGTCTCAAGCACTCGAATAGGTCTTTCTTCATAGGTTAAATCCGACTGGATCTTGACACTAGCAGGTTCAATAGCTTCTTCGGGCACACGAAGACATTTCTTGAGTTGGGAGACATGGAAAACATTGAATATAGCTCTCATTTCTAGAGGTAACTGGAGTTTATAGGCTACTGGTTCCCTTCGTCCAATGATCTTGTATGGGCCTACATATCTAGGTGTAAGTTTTCGCTTCACACCAAACCTTTGCACTTTCTTCATGGGAGACACCTTCAGATATACAAAATCCCCAACTTCAAATGCAATGGGACTTCTCCTTTTATCTGCATAACTCTTTTGTCTCAATTGTGTAGCTTCAATATGTTGTTGAATAATTCAAACTTGTTCTTCAGCTTCTTTGACAAAGTCAATCCCATAATACCTTCTTTCATCAGGCTCAATCCAATTCAGAGGAGTCCTACACTTTCGACCATACAAAGCTTCAAAAGGAGCCATCTTAATGCCTTCTTGATAGCTATCGTTGTAGGAGAATTCGGTCAAAGGTAGCCATTTCTTCCATGAACCCATCGAAGAAATCACACAAGCTCTCAACATATCCTCCAGAATCTGATTCACCCGCTCAGTCTGACCAGCTGTCTGAGGGTGGTAAGCAAAGCTACAAATCAATTGGGTACCTAGCTGCTTATGTAGATGTTCCCAAAAATGATTAACAAACCATGATCCTCGATCTGACACAATGCTTTTAGGCACACCATGCAATCGTACGATTTGGGCAATGTACAACTCTGTGTACTGATGGAGTCGATATCTTTCCTTAACAGGGATGAAATGTGCAGATTTAGTCAAGCAGTCAACAATTACCCATATGGAATCATGACCCTTTTCAGTGGTTGAAAGCCCAACTATAAAATTCATACTGATGTCATCCCACTTCCAACTTGGGATAGACAGTGGTTGAAGTAGTCCAGCCGACTTCAAATGGATAGCCTTGACCCGACAGCAATTATCGCATCAAGCAACAAATGCTGTAATTTCTTTCTTCATTTTTGTCCACCAGAAGCGTGTTTTCAGGTCTTGGTACATCTTACTGCTACCTGGGTGAATGGATAAATTGGAACAGTGTGCTTCCTCTAGAATTTGGTTTCTCAATTCTCTATATTTCGGCACTACAAGCCGATCCTTAAACCACAGCACACCCCTCGCATCAAGCCAAAAATATTTGGTTTCTTCCTCTTTCATCTTTCTTTTGATATGGAATATGCCCTCATCGATCTTTTGGAGCTCAATGATTTTAGACTCAAGAGAGCAACTAACAGTGATATTGTGTAAGACTGCTGGATGCAATAAGTTGAAACCATCTTCCAACAAGGGATTACACTGATACTTCCGACTTAAGGCGTATGCAACCACATTGGCTTTTCCCGGATGATAATGTACTTCTAGGTTGTAATCCTTGATCAGTTCCAACCATCTTCTCTGCCTCATGTTCAATTCTGGTTGGGTGAAAATGTACTTGAGGCTCTTATGATCAGTGTAGATATGGCAAACATTACCAAGCAGGTAATGTCTCCAAATTTTAAAAGCATGGACAACTGCTGCTAATTCTAAATCATGGGTTGGATAATTGACTTCATGCTTTCTTAGTTGCTGCGAGGCAAAAGCAATGACTCGGCCTTCTTGCATTAGAACACACCCCAAATCGGTACCCGATGCGTCGTAAAACACATCAAAAGGTTTCTCAATGTCAGGTTGTGCTAAAACAGGAGCAGTAGTTAGCAACGTTCGTAAAGTGTGAAAAGCTGGCTCACACTCCGGTGTCCATACAAATTTCTCATCCTTCTGAAGCAACTTAGTCATGGACTTGGCAATTTTGGAGAAATCCAAAATAAACCGACGATAATATCCTGCTAAGCCAAGAAAACTCAGAACCTCATGAACGGAGGTTGGGGCTTTCCAATCAAGAACCTTCTGCACCTTGGATGGGTCTACCGAGATTCCATTTTCAGATAAAGCATGGCCTAGGAAAGGTAATTTCCTCAACCAGAATTCACATTTACTAAATTTAGCATATAACTTATGCTTTCTCAGCCTAGACAAATCAACAGATCATGGTAGTCTTTTTCCTCATTAAGCAATGCTGCTAATTAGGAGATATATAGGACATCGTGGCTAATTAGGAAATATATTGTCTTCCTTCTCTCGCTGACATCCGTTAATTAGGAAACAAAATGCGGTTAATGCTCGGTATAGTTATTTGCTTTGGTTCCATACTTTTTTTCCTTTTCCATTTGGTTTCTTCACTTTTTGCTCACTAAGATAGTGTTTGGTTTGGGGGTTCAGAACTGCATTACTTGATGACGTGGATCGCTGTAAAATTAGATAGACTCTTTAGTCAGGTTTTTCTTTATAAAAGTACTAAGATTAGATAGACTCTTTAGTGAGGTTTTCCTTTATAAGAATATAAGATAAGATAGGATATCATAGCATGTTATCGTATTCAATGTTTATGGTGACTGTTAGGGGGTGTATCCAATGTGGATGAAGGGGGCTCATGCCCCCCCTCCACTCCGCCTTTCCTTGAATTTATAATTTGTAGTGGGACTAAATTTTTTTGGAAGGCCTTTATGTTTCTTTATTTGGTTATATGTTGTGCTTTTTTTTTATAAATGGTTATATGTTGTGTTACTTACATGTTTATAGTAACCTAACAAAATTTCTAATGCCACTATTATGCTTGTGTTTTTAACTACTAGATCATGGATTCTTCTTGTAAGTTATAAGCCAAGCCCATGGCCTTATGTCAAAGCTAGGCTAGGGCGTCATGGATTGGTTTTATGTAGCAGAAAACATAGAAGCCGGCAAGAATGGAAGTGCCTAAAGCTTCAGTACAGCATGCAGACATGGGCATAGACACCTACGAGACATGATAGAGATCTTGAGATCGATGAAATTATCATAGACTCTACACAGTAACAAACTGTTTATCATCATCATCAACCGGAAGGATGTTTATTTGTAATCAGTTTGTCCACTCCAAACTAACATAAGCAACAATCCTGTCTTCGCGTCAATCAATGGCACCCACGGTGCCCAAGAACACCGATCAGAGGACCAAAACACAAAGGCCACTGCTCACTTGTTTTTTCAATCCAATCTATAAACCATTTTTTCCATTTCTATATATGTACATCTTTTCAGTATTTCCGAGGGGGGAAACAAAAGTCTAAGATGCCAAAAGGTGGTTCATTCATTGTTGAAGCTGTGAATATCTGACTGTTCGTCCGTGGATTGTTGTCGATTCTTTCGCAAGAGATACTATCAAGTATTTCTCCGTTGAACTCAACTATATTGCGTCAGCTTTGTAACGTGCCAGTTGGTCGATGGGATATTCAGCAAGCTGGTTTCAGAACTATACCTGGTTGTCCCTGTCCAACTGAAACTTTGAGGCTCTACCGGAAGGACAAGCCGTCGTTGGGCAAGGGTTCTGAACCAGCACCAGTAGGGGTTGTGCAGAACAGCCTGAACCAGTCCTCTGCAAAATCGCAAGGCATCAGATCGATATGCATTAGCGGTTGTGCATGAACAATTGTTTCGAGAGGTCACTTGTGTGCCCACCATTCCAACATGCCATTGATCCGAGACTAGACCTTTGAAATCGGCTGCGTCCATCTCCTGTTTCGTCAGGAAGTACAGTGTGAGATGTTTCAGTCTTTGATTGATGCGCAGACTGGGTTGTGCGAGAGCTAGGAAACTTGATGAAATTAAACTTACCACACTGTAAATAGGAGGAATGGTGATCTCCCATGCTGATTTCATAAGGGGTATGGTATGCAGATGAAGTGAGGCTTCAGGGATTCTGAAGTTCCATCTGAAAAAGAAAAACGGAACGAAACTGAATTTACACCTTTTTTTTTTTTAAACACAGGAGGTTGTTCTGCTTACTGTCAGCGCATGATCTTGACTCACCCAATGTACATGAAGATGCAGAACTGTACCCACTCACGTACTAACACGCGAAACCAGTAGTTCTCTGGTGTGTCGTCGGCCCTCATGTATACCTGAAACCACAATGTCAGAACTCAGAAGCACTTCCAAAACGAGCTGATCATCTCAACGGAACAGTGCTGTGTGCTAGGTCTCATACCATGATAAATGCCACTGCGGCCACCTGCATCGTTCCCTGAAATCTCCTGAAGAAAAACCGAGAGACGGAGCTTACGAACATAACAATTTTCGAGAGGCAAATCAGAACTGAAACAGTTGGGAAGAAAGGGCTTACTTGAACATTGTATACTTTGTGTTCAGCGCGCCGTGCAAGGAATGGATGTCTTCCTCTTCTATGAAACTGAGCTGCTCCTGTAGAACTATAAGATTCTGGGAAGTACGCCGAAATATGATGTAAAATGACGCAAAATAGTTGACCAGAAGAATGACCTGTACCAAGTCAGAAACTTTTTTTTAAAAAAAACAACAACAACAACCGAGCATTCCTCTATACAAGTTCAGACAAATTGTTGCAATATTAATTGTTGCTGAAATCTTACATTAATTGCTTCAGGTTCAGCGTGTACTTACTGTGAAGTAGGGAACTGCAGCCTTGTAGCCGATGAGGCTCAGGTACAGAAGGCACCCGAGAGCGGCCGTGGTTCGTCTCTCCCGGATGGAGAGGCGCTCGCACATGATGCAGTAGCCGTGGGAGATGAGCACGAAGGAGACGAAGGAGGCCGTCTGGAAGAGGATCCCCGTCACGTACGCGCCGAACGACATCCACAGCGAGCATGTCTGAAGGTGCACGCACGAGTACCTGGGCAGCGTATCGTATCGATTCAGCATCACTCGCTAATTAAGATTTCGCAAAAAAGGATCTGGGTAAGCAACCGCAGCTAGCAGGGCCAGTTCACAGGTGTTCAGGGACAGATACGTTGAACAAACTGAAATGCGGGCGTTGGTCAGAGTGCTCACCAGAACAGGAATGAGAGTGCCATTTGGAGCGCTTTGATCAGTGGGACTAGGGACAGGATCCATTGTAGGTTATTCGCCTGCGCAAAGGAAACAAGGTTACTGCATCAGAACCGCACTATCACGTCCTGGCAACTAAGACTGACAGACATTCCCAACGGGATTTCCACAGCATCAGATTCTTCCATTGTACTAGGTTCACTTGCTTTCTTCAGAACAAAATTTCAGAAATTTCGTAAGAACCAGTAATTGGCAAACCACAAACACACAAATGAAAACACGTCAAATGAAAATTCTGAGACGATGGCCTCTGGCAGTACCTGGTAATGGCGGTTCCTCCATGTGCTGAAGGCCCAGGAGAAGCCAGAGGCCGCCCATATGGCCAGGAACCCCAGGTACAGCGACGGGAGCGGCTGGTAGCCGTTGCTCAGCGCCGGGAGCGGAGACGTCGCCTCCTGCATCTTCCTTCTTGCACAGGCACCCGGTACCCGGTTCCCTGCACACCACAGGCGCGCGAACAGGGCCTTTTGGTAACCGAAGGGGATGGGGATCACAGTGCTGATGCGCCTAGGGCCGACCGATGCAGGAACACAAGATCATGGAGCGGTAGCGGTGACCGTGCATATAAAGAGGCTGGACTCCGGTTCTTATTTTAATCACAAAATCTCGCGATTGAGCGATGGTTGTACGTATTGGGTTTGGCATCTGCGGGGTATACGTGCGTGGTGCGCCCCCTTTTTTTTCTCACCAGAAGCGTTAGGGGAGTGTAGGAGTAGTTCGGGTTGGTTGCTTATTGGAGGGAAAATAAATGCTATGGCAACGGCTCCCTGTGTCCAGAACCACAATTTCTTTTACTTCATCAAAATATAATAATAATAATATAACACTGCTAATCAGGGGAGAAACCTGTCACTGTCCGCCTCGTGTTCGTTTTGACTCGTGCGGCGTGCCTGTCACGTACATACTTATATTATTACATATTTACATACGTCATGGTTACATTACATAAATAACCCGACTACGGGCTCGTGGCCGTAAAGACTAAAGAATATTACACTGGTAATAGTAGTAGTTAGATTATCACTTTTATCAGTAAGTAACACAGTCTAATTAAGCCCATGGTCAACGGAGAAAAATGTACAGTACGTATGTCAGTGTGCCACGGTCTGGGCAACAGACGAGAGGAAGAAAGATCATGTCGCGGGTTTGCAGGGCTGGAATGTTTAACGAAAAAACTTGCAAGGCACGCGAAACCAATTGCTGAACAGTCTACTAGCACTGTGCTCTGCTGCCGTGTGTACATAACATACTCCTAGCTCCGGATTAACCTAGTTCGTCCAGAAACCAATTAATTGTAAGGACGCATATCATGCAATTAGATTAGGCCGAGTCAACACTTAATTAAACTGGCCTCCTGTCCCTGTCACCGGAAGGATCTGAAGCTATCTAGAATTCTAGACTAGAGTTCCCAGACACAGGAGTAACATAATTAGTGAAGATTAATTAAACCACGCGTGCTTGCGCAATCGCAGCACAGAGCCTGACCGGGGTTTTTACTTTTTACAAGCGCGGGAGAGATGCATGGAGTGAAGTGAATCGAGGGCAAGGAGGAGCAGTTGGTGCCGTGGTAGCTCACTGATTCCACATGCCTGTGCGTTCTCAAGGAGGCCGCTTTGACTGGAACAGGTGCAAGGGGGAGGAGATGTTAGGTGCGCAAGGCCAGAGCATTAGGTAAACCAACCTTCACACGGGAGTGGAATGGATGGATCCATCCCTCGTTGCCATGCACCACGAAAAAAATAATAGCATTCGACTACACGGGCGGCTCTTCTGAAATGCTGTTCCTTTGAAGACGAAATAAAATAATACTTAGGTAGCATTCGACTACACGGGCGGCTCTACAGAAATGAAATGCTGTTCCTTTAAAAAGACGAAATAATCAGGAGCCAATCCATGGCTTCTTGGCTCCTTGCAGATTCACGGGGAAGCCATTTTAGAGGATATCTATTTAGGCATCAAGTATGGATATTTAGGACTACTTAAAATTGTGTTTAGAGGATATCTATTTAGGGCATCAAGTATGGATATTTAGGACTACAAAAGAAATATACATACTTAATCGCTAATGCTCATGTGAGGGCGTGTGGATGTGAGGGCGTCCGGACCGTCCATCCAGATGCCATGTTCCGGGTCTGCGCAGCAATCGGGCTCAACATCAACGGGCCTGTGGCCTCTCCAACAGATTCCACTCCCCAACTCATCTATCCGCGCCTCGTCCAGAACATTTCCCCACTCCCGACTATCGTCGTCTGCTCGCCCCACTCTGCCTCACCCGCCGCAGCCATCCCATGCCACACCCCATCCTGCGTCGCGCCTGCCCCGATCCCGCGCCGCGCCCCCATCCACCTCGCCCGTCGCGGCCATGGCGTCCATCGCGCCACCACCACCCTGGTGCCACCAGGAGGTCGCCGCATGTACCACAGTTCCCCACCAGGTAGGCCGTGGCCGCGTGAGTGAACGTTGTGTTTCAAGTGTTTCAGGCGTTTTCAGACTTTTGTTTCAAGTGTTTCATCTGGACGTTGCATACGTAGATCTTGGATGTTGCATATGCTGCAATGACAAAATACGCATGTTGCAAGCTTATGTTTCAAGTGTTTCAGGTGTTTTTAGACGTATGTTGCAAATGTTTCATCTGAATGTTTCAAAAATAGATCTTGGAGTTGCACATGTTCCAATGGCTACACATGCATGTTTCAAGTGTTTCATTGTTTGTAGACTAATGTTGCAAATGTTTCATCTGGATGTTTGAAATGTAGATCGGGTGTTGCAGGCTGATGTCTGCCAACTGCTACTGCTGAGGCGCCGCTGTGGTTCGTGTGCAGGTGCCGGAGGGCGGCAGACGCCTCCGTGGCGTGCATCCATAAGCAGGCAGGTGAGCACGGGGTCGCGGTTCTGCCATTCGGGCGCGGGGATAGGCGCTGGCCGCAGTTCCGCGTGTAGGCACGGGATGGGCTGGCGCGATTCCGTACGCTGGCGCTGGATAGGAACGGGACAGAGCGCGTGAGATGCGATGTGGGCATGGGGCGCGGGAGCTGCGTCTGGACGCGGGCCTAGGACTGGATGTCCGGGTGCTAACCTTACAGATACTTAATTGCAGATTGTGCTTGTGCATCAGCTTTTAAGAAACAAAAATGTTGAAGACAAATGTCCTTTAAAAGTTTGTAGGAAGGCAGACGTTTCTTATTTTTGCCTGAGTCTCATGATTGCTAAAGAAACCTTTTTGAGTCTAGGTGTTTTTAGATTATAGGATGACGATGAAACCATGATCATCCTCTAAAAACCCAATACCTAACATTGTGTAACAAAGCACCCATGACCCTGTTCGGCAGGACTGAAAAATACTGTTCCGGTTGATTGTTGTGAGAGAAAAATACTGTTCTGGCAGGACGTGAACAATGATTCGTGAGTGACAGAGCCAGCCGGCAACCAGCCAGCCGAACGGCCGGATGCAAAGGCAGCCAAGGTCCTAAGCACAATACCACTTAATGTTTCCTATAATTGTTACCAGCTCAACATTGATAGAAGATTTGGGCTATCTCAAATAATAATTCCAATAAATCCCAAAGATCCACTCACACATGCATGAAGAAAATTGCACCGATCAATTTTGGTAAGCAATTTTTCTCGTATTAATGGTGATTGCTCTGATCTCCTAAATGGCAAGTCAATTACCATTAATACCGTGATTTTGCATGCATGGGAAAAAATTGTGCGAGCCTATTTTGGTAAGTAATTATTCTTGTATTAATGGTTATTGCTCTAGTCGACTAATGGTAGGTCAATCACCTTAATAATGTGATTTTGTGGCCAATTTCTTACCATAGCTGCGACCCGTGTATATATTGGGACGAGACATCGCTCTCAACATAGACATAGTTCATTTCTCCTCATGTCACAGTGCTGCACTGCCTCCATCTTTCTCATCCCACCGTCAACGTGTCATCGGCGTTGGGAGAGCAGGTCTCCGAAGCCTACGTCCCCTCGTGTCCTACATCAGGTAGGGCCCATATTAGGTTTTTGAGAAGCGCCGCCGCGACTGTTCGCTAAACGTCTTCTTCCCTCTATAAAATTTGACCAACAATTAGTTAGATTATGTGCAAGTATAAAGTTTTTGTTTTCCTTTGACTACAACGTACAAAGTTAACAGTACTACAGGGCCACAGTGTGTCACGCTTTCTCCAGCCGGCCCGAAACAACGCTGTCACGGGTGACGGGGTGACGGGAGCTCCTAGCTCACCGTAACCCCGCCACGGGCGCGCACGCGCGCACTACGCCGCGGTCGTGTGCACGCGCTACCCCGAATTCCGGGTCTCGCGGCCGACGTGCAGGCCAGGCTTTGGTAAACACGAGCCGCTGTACTTTTCGCCGATCGGCCCCACGCACGCCTTCCACTAATCGTCATCATTGCACAGATGGCTTGTGCCAGATTACCATCCGCCGAGATCAAGGAAGCTTAACTTTAACCACTTGGAACTTTGCCTAGAGAAAAAATGGTGAACTCAACCATTACAGCATGATCTTTCAGCCTGTCAGCATAGCGGAGAGTTTACAGAGACGATGCTAGTATTTGTTGGCCAAGGACAGCACACGGTAGTAGCAGTACATGAGCTGCTCTTCGTGAACAGAGGATCATCAATCAGGGAAAAAAAAACACGAAAAATAAGAGAGATGGTCAGTTCATGTAACTCGAAATGCACGTGTGACGTGTCTGTTCGCCTTGCAGGTTAAGCGAAAACGGAACCGATTATACCAAACACAGCGCCGAACGCCTTTGCTGCCAAAGAGTGTCGCAACACCCTTTCAAAAGAGTGTGTGTCTGGGCATTTGTGGTAGGGCCTAGTTTTGGCGCTCCCGGGAGTCCTGATCAAGCGGAAAGCCTCACGACGGGGAGCATGTTTGCCGGAAGCTACGGGCAGTAGCATCCTGCCTGACACAACTTTTACCGGCCGGTTCGTCGAAAAGCGCTTTAGCGGACCTTAACATCAGTGTTTCATCAAGTTGCCACGCCGATCGAACACGGCAAATGCTTGTTTATCTGCAAGTCAAATCATCACTCGCTTGAGACTAGCACTAGCTCTATTTATAAGGGGCCAAGAAGGGGGCTCTTAGCAGCTTCGCATTACACGCAGCAGAGCACTGCACCTGTGATCCTCTGCACTGCATCCACACAGACCCAAGGTCCTAGACGGCTAGACGCTGATAGACAGGTAACCACTTATCCTCTCCCCATCATGATTTCCCCTTCTTAGCCGATGATCTTACACTAGCTCACTCTGTATTCTTTTTATTTCTTTTCCTTGTAGAACAGTGGAAGCTAGTAGTATAGGACAAAATAAGCTGACAAACCAGCTGCCTTCTTCTACGTACTCTGTATAGACGAACAGAGCAGCAGAAATGGAAC